ACGGTTTCGGTATGTGCTATGTTTAGGCAAAAACTATACTGTCAAATAAAAATAAAGAAAATAAGAATAATCTATCTAACTACAAGCAACAGCACAAATAAATACAATAGAGTAAAGATACAAATAAAATAAACTGTGATTTTCAGTTTTTTTTAGGTAGGTCTAACATTAGTTTCAGGTACAGAAATTGAATAAAGTAATGAAATTTAAAACAGCATTGCATATTTGACTGTATAAATTAAAGATTAATCTTTATTAAAGTTACAAAAGCTATTCAATCAAGAGCAGTGAGTGATTTCTTTGTTGCTGTTTGATTAATATTAAGAAAGTGTTGTCACTTTAAGAGAATGCACTGATCCAGTGCACGCGTGCTATCAGCAACCGGGTGATGACGGAATAAATGCTCATATTCCAGCATTCGCATTGAACAAGAGTGAATGGTTTGTCCACGTTTTTTTCTCATCGCTGTTGTTGTAATGTATTGGGAAGCCAGAATGTGCATCCATCAACAGAAACATATATTAGCTGAACCCTGTTTGTTTTACGTGTTATTTATAGCAAACCATATTACAGATACGTTGTCCGATTTAAGTTGAACCGCGGTCCTAGCGTACGGTTTGATTTTTTTCCGCGAACTTTCCACCCCTAGTATATGTACTGCAGATTATATATATTTAACAATGTAATAATATTTAGTATTTTCACATCTAGGTGGAAAAAATTGTAATTTGTACTACTGTCTGTTCAAAATAAATGAAAAGAAACCGAGCATAGTAGATTTTTTTTTTTCTGTTGTACCGAAATCGTATCGAACCGTGACACCCCCCCCGCCGAACCAAGGTACGTACCGAACCGTGACATCTGTGTACCGTTCCACCCCTACTAGCTTCCTATCTAATAGACTATCAAACTAGTTAACTGTCTAATGAAGTGTTTATTCATCTAGCTAGTTGGCAGTCTAATTACTAGCTAGCTTGTACCCAGCTAACAATTTTTGGTTCCCGGAACGTTAGTTATTGGTTCCCATAACACTATTTTTTTTTATGGTTTGTTTTTGGTTAGCCAGGAAAGTGTTCTTAACATTCCCAGAACGTTAGTTTTTGGTTCCTAGAATGTTAATCTAATGTTCCCATAACGTTATTATAACGTTCCCCTAACGTTAGTTTTTGGTTCCCAGAACGTTATTATAACGTTCCCCTAACCTCTTTATTCCGATATGATCAACCTGCTGTATGTCAGTAATCATCAGCACACTCGTGACCCAGTATAGTATAAGCGGCATGGAAAAGATCTGTATGGATACCTAATCAGTATTATAAAAACCACATCTTGTTTTTATCTATTGTTTAAGTAATAATCTGAGCACATCAACCATCATATGTAAGATTAAATAAGATTAAATCTGTCCATTAATATGTAAGATTACGGAGTAACGTTACCCAGATTTTAAATTTCTTCAGCACCAAATAAAAATGACTTCAACACAATGTATGGTTCATAAAATTTAATTTATTCATAGATGTATATAAAAAAGAAAAAAAAATTACTTGACTTAAAGTAGGATATTAGTACATTAATTTCTTACCACTGAAGTGTACAGTTTGTGCAGCGGGACCTTCTTTTGATCCGTAAACAAAAACCTCTCGCTTAACATGTTCTCTTCAGTTAGGCATTTTAAATCCCTCCAAAATCATATTTACTCTCATAAATATATTAATTTTAAGTAATCATTCAATAAAGAGATCGATAAACGAGCGAGTCAATCAACCAGTAAAACGAAAAAATGACCGTTAAGGCTGATTTATACTTCTGCGTCGGACCTACGCCGTAGTTTACGCATAGACGCACACCCATACGTGTGCCTGACGTGCACCTCTCCAAAAATCGAACAGCGCGTCAATTCTACGCAGACCGCAAGCGCTGTGATTGGTCTGCAAGAACCCCTCCCTCCATATGTACTTGAGTTTTGTGTGTGTTTATGTGCACTTTAATATATTTTAATGTTACACCTTCTTATATAAAATAAAACAAAGCAAAGAACAAGTGTCTTATCATTTATTATACTACATAGCATTATACATCAGTAGTTGTCCGCAACAAACAATGTTGATCTGCCGTGGTGCAAGTCCTTGTGCAGACTGAAAGAATGCCATCATCTCCTGTTCCATTGTTGTCTCCTTTTTGTAGTTTTAAATAATGATTTTATGATTTGATATTTATTTGCTGCCGTCACGGCTATAATGCTTCTCAGACGAGCCGCTTCTTCTTCGCTTTTGCCGTGGTACTGCAGGTTACACCAGCAACATGCCCGTGGACACTGCTGACTAGCGGTTTGCATGTGTACTGCACATCGATGCGGACAACGACGCAGAAGTATAAATGAAAACTGACGCATAACCTACGGCGTAATGGCTACGGCGTAGGTCCGACGCAGAAGTATAAATCAGCCTTAAGAGAGAGAGAGAGAGAGAACGTAAATACTGACATATAGCTGATTAATTTTCTAATTAAACTAACAGTCACAGAAAAGTATAGCAATTAAAATAACCTGATTTGATTAAATTGAGTGATGATGAAATTTACAGTCAAATAAATGTTTGTAAGACATTAATGGCCTTTATATTTCAAAAGAACAAACAAGGAAAAAATATTGCAGTAAATGAAGATGAAACAAACCCACGAATTTATGATTTCTGTTACCACTCTACGCGTAACCCTGGCTTAATATTATAATTTAAATCGCGTTTTAATTTATCTAATTTCTGTATTTTAATAAATGCTGCATTAAACGAATTTCAGGGCTCTGTATAGGTCATTACACATTAACATCTGCGACGCTTTCATTGGAAAGAGTTTTACAGGGTTATAAAAATAACCTGAGAATAACCATAAGGGAACGTTCTCTATAAGTTATTTTTAGGTTATTTTATAAAAAACCACCCTGCAACGTTCTGGGAACGTTATTTTATGGTTGCAAAAAAAATAACCTAAAAATAACCATTATGGAATGTTCTCTACAAGTTATTTTTAGGTTATTTTAAAATAACCACCATGCAACATTCTGGGAACGTTATTTTATGGTTACAAAAAATATAACCTGAAAAGAACGTTCCCCTAACGTTAGTATTTGGTTCCCAAAAAAAGAACCAAATGGGAACCAAAAACTAACGTTAGGGGAACGTTCTGTGTTTGCTGGGTAAGCTATGTAATAACGCATCTAGCTAACTAAAATCTTTGTCCCACTAGCTTTTTGCTGTCTTTTAACCAATTTATTCATATAGCTAGTTAGCTATCTAATAAAGTATTTTTACCTTAAGCTAGTTACTAGCTGTCTAAATGATCTAACTATTTAGCTATCTAGTCAGCTATCTAAAGTATCTAACTATTTACCCATGTAACATACCCTGCAACGTTCTGGGAACGTTATGTTATGGTTGCAAAAAAAATAACCTAAAAATAACCATTAGGGAACGTTCTCTATAAGTTATTTTTAGGTTATTTAAAAATAACCACCATA